GGAAGCCATGCCCCAATACTCTGGGTGCTGCTAGAAAGCAGTGTCTTTTTCTACCCATGACTGACACAACTGGGATAACTTGTCACTGACTCACCACTTTCTGTTTCCCCCACAGTAAATCTCACCACCACCAGATAGTTTAGCCCATGCAATGTCACCAAACTCATGCTGGACTCTCCCTTTGGGAAGACTGGACTTCTGCAAATTCTCCCTCATCTGTGGGTATCTGCCCAGGTCAGCACTCTAAAGGTTTTTCCACATTGCAAGATAGTTGGCACATGTTTGCTGGCTCTGCTGCTTCCACAGCCCATACTGAGGTCTTGTAACTATTACCAGATACAGGTGGGCGAGACTCCTTTCACATCCCTTGGCATGTGGTGCTACATCCCACAATTCCCACAGAGGCACATTTGTTTGTGGACATGTGTCTGACTAGTTTATCTAAAAGGGAGACAAAAAAGAGGAATATCTGCCACCATGATGCTAACATCTAGAAGTGTATTTTAAATGACAGGAAAGTTAATAAATATTACAAAAGGGCCTAAGATGGAGTGACAGAGAGACAGGAAGAAAACTATTCAATGCAGGTTTGACAGAAACTAAATGAGGAGTGATAATTGTTGGTACAACTCTGTTTTTAAAATAAACATCAGGTATCAAACTAATGTATATTTTCAAATGGCAATCCTCAGAATAATGCTCTGCTTCACTTTTTACCTTTAAAAAATGTTGCCACTTCATAGAGGTGTGAGGACAACTTGAGATAATACATATACTGGGCACAGAGTATGTGTTCCAATAATGTTAGGTAGTGGCAGTAGTGGTAGCAGCAGCAAAAGCAGAAAAAGTCATGTTAATAGAGAAACTATAGTAATTATTAACATTCTTTCTATCATTGCTGCTATATTGAAATATATTTATGCCTGAACCCCATTCTCAATTGTAAGCTCTTGAAGAAGAGGGTCCAAGTCTTGTTCGTCTCCATATACTCAGCATCTAGAACGGTATTGACCCCAGTGTACATGATGAATAATGGCTGTTAAATACAATCGACAGGACAAGATTCCTAGATATTGGGGGTAGAAATGGTGACATTTAGAAGTAAAATGAAATCAAAGATGGTTCTGATATTTCAAACAGATAATGCAGCTGACATTAACTAAATACAGGTCACCAATGGGCTCTATTTTGCTAAATCCAACTTTTTATTCTAAGTCATCTTACTTGCCAAGTCAGTATAATTTTATCAATGTTTTTCCTCCATGAAATAATTTCTTCACTTGGATTTGAGGACATTGCACTCTTGCTTTTCTCCTACATCACTCTGCTTTACTGGGTCTCCCTGTTCTATTAGAACTCGCAATGCTAGCATACACCAAGGGCTCAATCTTTGGTCTTCCTTCTATTTCTACACCTTCCCGCTTAAAGTGTCCCCAGTCCCCATGGCATTAAATACCACCTACACATTCATGCCTTCTAATACAGACATCTCACACACACCTCACCCCAAACATCAAACACCTGACTACTTAACACCTTCAGTTCGATGTCTTAAAGTTATGTCAAGCTTAATAAGCTCAAAACTGGATTCTAAATATCCCCTCACCCAAAACCTGCTCTATTGACAGACTTACTCATTATAGTTAAAAGGAAACCCATTGTTTTGCTGTCATGGAGTTATCAGCTTCCTGTTTACTGCTCACCACCAAAATCTCCATTTTTTTTTTTTTTCAAGAACACCCTTAGGCTTGAACTTCCCCACACTCTGTTGCAAGTCCTACCCAGCTCCTTTGCATAGGACACTCTACTCAGGGCTCTCTGTTCTTATGAATTACCTTTTCCCCTGGGAAAAATCTCAGAGACCGTGATCTGGGTACTGAGTGAGGACACTGCCTCTAATCTTTCTGGCTTGCTTTTCCCACCATGGAAACTGCTCACAAATGAGCTGACACAAGGACAATTGAAGTCGCAGTATTTCCAGCCCACCATCACTACGGTAGGACCTGCACACCTATGAGTAGGGCTGGGTGGAAGAAGGCAGCCCCAACCTCTCTGCAGCACTCTCCTGCAATTTAGCCTCTGCATCTCAGAGTTGGAGGGGAGGAGAAATGCTGGCTGCCTGACCCTCCCAGTGAGATGTTCTATCTCTTGACTGGGAGCTTAGGGGACAGGAAGCCCCATCTTCTTGACCACATCTGCTCAGAATGGAGGAAAAGAGCTATCTTGGCCCATGCCACAGACTCTTTCACTGTTCTTACCGAGTTCTAACACATTTTCCTGACTAAATGTTCTTTCCTTTGCTGTACAGCCTTAGGACAATTTCCAGGAACTTTAATGAGTTGGCATTTTAAAATCATTTTCAACAGTTACTCTATTTCACTACGTAATGGGTCCATGTAGCTCCTCACACTGCTCTTACAGAAGTAGGACTCTTCTAAACAGGAACAGACTCATACAATCTATGAAAAACACATTTAGAAAATGCCATTTAGAG